GAGCGAAAATCGCAAGTAGAATACTAAAGACGAAGTCTGACAAAAAATGGGTGAAAATGTAATTTGTTCGCCGTCTAAAACCGAACATTTTGCCGTATCGTTTTTGAAAATCCGTTAAAAACTGTAATTGTTATGACAATTTTGGTGCTTTAAACGGGTTAAAACCCATTTTCGCTATTGAGCCGGTATTCAAAATCGTCTCAGGACAAAACGCAAAAAATAGGGGTTATTTTTTTTCGGTCTAGAATCGATTTTTGAGCGGAATTGGACAATCGGAAAACCTTCGATTTTTTTTGGGCCACCCTACCGCGGGACCTGGGGCGGTCAAACGACGCTTCCAGGCCGTCAGAACTATTCAAAACGGTAAGGGTGTAAAAATGGATGTAAATTCCGTTTTGGGCCCTAGCTCCTCTATCTGAGGGAGAAAGTTCCCACAACCTTCGCTGAAAAACGCTATTTTGGATGCTCAAAATGACACCGTCAACAGTTTGTACCTATCTTGTAACCCAGCGGGTCAGGAGACTAAAGACTTCGCTTTGTAAATTCCGTAATCTGTAAATTCCGTCATTATTTCTGTAAAATCCGCCGTATTTCATAGGGGGTGAAATTAAAAGTCAACTTGTAGCGCTGCGACGCTCAGAAGGGTACTGGGGGGTACAATGTATGCCATCTACACCAAATTTAGCCCCTAAAGTTGAACTTTAAAAAAGAACATTTGGTACATCCAAAATGACCCTCTACGCACGGAATCACCCTGACGTCGATTTAAAGGAAAACGGCATTGAATGGCATCGCCGGACACAATAGGCATGAAAGGGGGTTTCCATACTATCTCAGCCTGGTGCCGCAAACGTGCGCAACTCGACTTTTCTCTTGTCAAAAAGTCGAAAGACGATTTTCACATTATTTTTAAGACCCGCAGTTTCGACGCTTTTCCTTTGAAACCGATTCTAATAAATGTGCTGGATGGCTTAGTCTTTTACCGTAGGCCGGGGTAATATGAGACAATTTCGGGGCAATATGAGACGCATGATTTTTATCGTTAGATTTTTAATGCTCGTGGCTTTTGATGACTCATCCCTGTCAAACTTCACGGCGAAAAATAGTACCAACACTCAAAAAAATTTCAATACAAAATTCTGTAATATGGTTACGCAGTAATTTCCACTACAAATGTTACAGAATTTTGTATCAACACTGATACAAAATTTTGTATCACGCGTTACGGTAAACTGTTTCCCGGTTACAGAATTCTGCAATGCTAAAATGATAAAAATTTGACGTTTTAAAAATAAAATTTGAATCTCAACGGTCGTTCGTTTCTACACATTCACTCCGTTGCTCCTGTACTCCCGAACACCCGGAGAAATCGAACTGCGTTCTCCGGAATCGAACCCCGGTCCCCCGGATTGCCAGCTCGGCATGCTACCGCTTGCGCCACAGCGCCGCATGGGGAGGCACGCCTCAGACTGTCGATCACACCGAGCGGGCACGCCGCATGCCCAGGTAGTGGTGGGAAACGTGCCCTGCGGCGCGACAGTTAGAGTTCCTGGCCCGAAGCTTCTTAAGTACCATGCCCTACGTTAGGACTTTTCGCCCGATCAACTGTGATGTAAAAAATTAAGCTCGTAATTTGACCTTAAATTTGCGTTATTAAATTTTGCATCAGACGATATGTAAACTCGTAACAACATGTTACAGTTTTCTGTATCAGTTACAGTTATTTGCATTAAGATCGCATTTTTACATGGAACTGTATCACTGATTGTGAATATTGAAACAAAAAGTACAGAATTTTGTATCAGTTTTAGAATTCTGAAGCACTGATTCGTAAATTCGTAACATTCTTGACGTGGGATGGCTATATCTGTCCACCATTTTTTCCGTCCCCCGTATTATTGTGTCCCCCCTAAGATAAAATTATAATACATATAGTTTAAATAAAATATATAAAGTATCACCTAATTTTTAATAAATTATAGGTAAAGAAATAGAAAATACTGTCAGAGGAGTAAAGTTTTGATAGGGGGATGGCTCAGTTCGCCTCCTGGCAAAGGGCCGACACAATTAACTATTATTTAAAACTATTAAAAACTATTTTTTTTCTGTCGGGGGGCGGAGCTCAGGTGATGGAGGAGACACCGAGCTGCGTCAAGGACAAAAAATCATAAATAAATAATTAAAATATTTATTTTTAGTTTCTTTTTAGTTTTTTTTTATTTGTGATCTCGCCGAGTGACAGGCCCTCTCGGGCGCCCGCCCGAACCTCCCGGATCCCCCGCGGAAGCGACTGCGAGGCTACTGCGGCAGTGGTATGAGAAATTCATCAGTCAGCGCCCCGGATGTCAGTTTGGTGAGTGTCCGGCGGGCTTTTTGAATTCGTACTGTCGGCAGCGTATCAGAAATCGATGCCGCGGTGCGTTAAAATGGGTGGGGGGGGGGGGGGGGTCGACTTTTGCGCGCCCAGTGGGTTGCAAGACATGAGTGTAGAAGCCTGACAATTCCATTAACGAGGCCCTTGCGACGAGCCTCTCCTGTCAAACTGCACGGGGAACTGTCGTATGTTCCAATGCAATGTCGGGAATAGAGTAAAGGCCGATCTTTTACAAACGGGCCAGTCCGTCTGCAGGCGGTCTGCTAGACAAGCCTGAGATGCTGATGAGCATTTGGTTGCCTACACGTCGGCGCAGCGAGGCAAAGTCACTCATTTCTTCATTTCAGTTTTTTTTTTTTTTTTGCGAGGGGATTCCCCGCATGCGGATGTAGGGGGATTGCTGTCAAGGAAGCAGTGTCAGTGCTGTTTCATTGGCGTGGTTTTTGAAATGGCTTCTCATGGAGATGCGTTCGGAGGCCCGAGGCGAGCTCAGAGAGTCCTCCTGAACGAGTGCCGACATGTTTAGACGTAGGTACCAGCATTGCGGTTTCCACATGCGCGGCAGCGGGCAGTGTGGGTGCAGAAGCGGCAGCAGCGGCTAGAGATGCAAATTTTCCGCAACTGGGCGGAACCGGAAAAGTGGACAAAACAGTTTGGCGGCAAAATTAGGCAGCATGACACCACTTTTGGTGCTAGCAACTTGGCCATTCTGACAACCAGATTCAACACAGCTCACCGCCGAGGAGCGGCATGGTTTGAGTGCCCTGTCGGGTTCACAGGGTTAAGGTATGCCTTTGAGCCTACTTCAGGCTGCCGCTTTTTGCCTACTTTTCAGGCACTCTTTCCAATTTTTCCGAGGCCAGGCGGAAAAAAACCTGTTTTTTTCCAGTTTTGCGGAACTTTCCGGCATTTTCATTAGCAGCGGCTCCGCATCCGTAGCATCCCGAGCCCCCTCCTGGACCAGGCGTCATCGCGGCAGCCTTGGGCAGCCTTGGGCAGCCTTGGGCAGCCTTGGACCTTGCCGCCTTGGGCAGCCTTGGGCGGCCTCTGGGAATCGGGGGAACGAGGCCGACCCCATTTGCGCCGCACACCTGGCTGACTTTGGGGGCGAAATAAATGCTTGTGCACGTGGCGGGATTGCCTCGAGATTAGCCCACTTGCGCTGTGGAGGAGGCCGGCCGGTCAGCCAGCGGACACACGGACGCGTGGCCGACCAAGCCGGCCGAAGCCGAGCCGAGCGAGCGCACCGATCACCGTCAGCGGAAGTTCCGTCGTGGTGACAGTGCAGTTTGGTGACAGTGCAGTTTTTTTTATATTTTGATCGATCAATGGCTGGATCAATGACTCTTACCCTAACAAGCAAGGGAGGCGAGTGCCTCAGGGGAGGAGAGAGAGAGAGAGAGAGAGAGAGAGAGAGAGAGAGAGAGAGAGAGAGAGAGAGAGAGACTTGACTTCGCTTTGCTGCAGGTGTCTGGCATGTACGATTATCTTTTTTATGTTGGAAGTGCCTTAGTCTTAGCGCCTAACACCAACAGGGTAGGCAACCAGCTTGACAGATCGGCGCAAATAGGCATTTTGTAGGGTGCCCCCGACTCCCTTAATCAAGCCACTTATGGCCGGCCCCGGCGCTAATGGTCACTTTCGTGAGCCACTCAGGTAGACGCGGCGCAAACGTGGTGAGTCCGGGAAGGACGCGGAGTACGTGGAGGCCGGGTCGGTGGAGACCGCACCGGACCCGCCACCGCCTCGCCGCGGCGTCCCACTCCAGGACAAAGCCATCACACGTGGGCGTCGCATACGCACTGGCGCAACTTGTCCTACCTGTCGCCATGAACGTGACAAACCGCAGTGGAGGCTCTAGATGTGATTTGGGTGATGCGAGGCCACTCATGAGACGCGTGATCGATGAACATCGCAATCCAAATCCTTGCCCGCGCTGTAGCAGCATTACCGCCGCGGTGTTCTCGCGAGGACCCAGAAGCGGCTCGCCTTCCAGCCACTGATATCGCCATTCAACATTATGAGATTGTTTCTTGTTTGTCACCGCGGCCCTAACCATGCCTGAGCATCGGCTCCGTAAGCGCCTGCAAAGGCAGGGTAGGCCGACCCGCACAACACGCGTCGGACTGGTGGCTGGCTGGCTGCCTACCCTGACGGCTCTCGAGTTCATGGTCCGTTGACGGCGAGGTCTTGCGCTGGCCCGGCAGCTTTCGTGCGGTGGAGCGCGCACTAAACCTGATTACCGCAGCCTCTTTAAAAGGAATTTCTTATGTATAAAGCCTTTCTGCGGAGAGGAAACCTACTGTAACATTTTGTTCACACTGATTGTGGGAGTGTGCAAGATTTCTGCTGCATCTGCCGCGTGTGCTGCCTACTTACAGGAGTATTTGCCACCTCAATGTGGAATGTGTTCAAATTTTCAACAACGAATGTGGGAAGTCCGCCCCCCCCCCCACAACACACACTTTTCGCTTTACTCCCACGTACTACCTTTGTAAAGCTATGTGGGAGGGCCGGTTGGCCAATGGCAAGGGCCCTCGTCTTCCTGCGCACCGGCTTCGAGCCTCTGGACTAGGCCAGGCTTTCGACTCCCCGAGAGGCTGCCTGCCTAAGTTTCGGGGCTCGCGGTGCGCTGGTGAGTGGGAGCCCAGGTGAGTTCCTCCGCCCGTACTTCGCACATGTCGCTATTACGCACGCGCGGTCTGAGGGCATTCCTTTCCTTCCGACTGCACTCTATCCGCCTGCCTCGCCAAGTAAGGCAAACTGGCTTCAATACGCTGTTTTTGCATGTTCCGCAATGGATGTACTCAAAGCGAGGACGCCTCGTTGGGCATCCGTGCGTTATGCACACCGAAATGCACATGCGCCCTGGGTGCCATGAAGGCATGGCAGCGGGCCCAGCAGGGAGGAGGTCACTGCTTTTCTTGCGCAAGGACTGTGGAGTGTCTCTACTCTGCAGCCTGTTGACTAATTCCGAGAATCGTTTTAGTCGCCCTGTCGCTGTCGCACTCACTGGGCGTCACGTGTAGGTGCGAGAGTGGCGGAGCGACGAAAACGACTCTCGGAATCAGTCAGCGGGTTCGAATACCGTTCAAAGAGAAGAGGGTTAGCTCTTCCTCCATTGCTGTTTTGCACTTGTGTGTTTGCCCCCCACTGCTTGGTCCCGCCCGTCACGTTTCCGCGATGCTTTTAAAACTTTCTACTGTTTCAGGGAAATGCTGGTCACTCCCTGGTCTGGTCAACTTTGGCTCTGCAGTGAGGAGATTGGCGGCGACGCGGCTGGGGAAGACGAGAGGTGCCTCGGTTCACATTCAGATGCAGCTCTCCCCAGACCACCCTCTGCTGGGACGCGCTATCTCGAGACGAGAAGAGTACCAACAATTCACAGATTCAGATGTGGTTTTGTGGAACGGTGCCGGGAATCTTCCTCCGACACATCTTGCCTCGCTGGTAAGCAACCCGTTCGAAATACAGACACTGAGCGGCCGGGGCTGCATCAGGAGTGCGATCCCGAGGGTCATTTTCTGTCTCTGTCTCTCTCGTTTTCATGGGTTGTTTCCGGAGAGAGATGGAGTGACGAAAACGATCCTCGGAATCGGACTCAGGTCTGCAGGCCTGCGAGCCTCCGCCAGCATGACTGAGACCCTGGTAAGTTTGCTCACCACAAATTTGGCAAGCCGCGTTTTGAATGCCAAAAAAGACGGCAAGCTTGGGTCAGAAACACTCCCCAGCTGGCCGAAATTGGGAAAGCTTTTGAAGATTTCTGGTCAATACTTGCCATGGCAATCAAAACGACTTGACAAATTTGTGGGCAGCAAACTTGCAGTGAAGCATGGGGACTGACCAGAAGCAGATGTGCCTTCCTCAGCGCCCGGCAACTATGCATTATCCCAAGCCCGGCAGGCATGGAGGTGGCGTGGGTTGCATACGCCGCAGGCTGAAGTGCGAGCGGAGCCGCCCTGCAGCCGAGCCAAGCCGAACCAGCCAGCAAAGACGAGCCGAGCCGGGCCGAGCCGAGCGCTTTCCGATGCCGAGCCGAGCGCGTTCCGAGGCCGAGCTGAGCCGAACCAAACTCTGAAACCGCGAAGTAGTTTACCGGACCGGCTCTGTGGGCCCGTCCAGGCCCGTCCAGGCCCGTCGTTCTACGACAGGTCCCGATCCGATTTTGAATGTTCGTAAATTTGTCCCAATTGTAGCCGTACTTTGCGGCTTTGTTGTTGGCGTCCTTGTCTCCTGAAGCTAGGACAGGTGTGCACCGATTGGCAGTGTCTTCATCTTTTTTATTTTGGTTTTAACGTCACTTCTCCTATCCAAGACAATGGACTGTATGTTCGTTCCTCAAAATGCTGTGTTCTTTATTATAGTGGCACCAAAGCATTCTATGCCTCCCTGTAGCTTTTCCTGTTTTTGTTTTGGCTTGTGCATAATGTTGCCTGTTGACACATTGTAAGCTTGTTTGTTTGTCTGATCCATTTGCTTTTGCTTGCAGGTGTACTCTAGGCAATAGCCATTCTAGCAGCAGCTTCTGTTGTTAGGTTAGTGGGACTGTAAATAGAGTGCTGTGTAGATCCACACTGCCTTCCTTCTCTCTTCACAGTTGGATCATTTTCAGATCAGTATGTTAAACATTATTTGTGAGTGTATTTCTATGATGCGTTGGTTCTGCTTAGTTGTGATCGTTTTGCTTTTGTGTTGCAGGCATCTTCAACGCACTTTCTCCTTCAGCGTTTCCTAGTTTTGCATTGAAACGCTTAAACTATGAACATCTACTATGAAAGAGGAAGGCAAGAAGGCAGTCACTTCTATCATGTTGGAGACGGATTTTACTACAATGTAAATCACATTTCTAATAATTCAATTAGTTTTCGATGCAACCGATCATCGTGCCCAGGGAGAGCTAAATGTGTAGGTGGAAGATTCCTTCACACAATTGCGCATGTTCATGGCCCAGACCCCTTTCTGAGAGAAGTCTTAGCAGCTCGAAGAGCCATCATTGATCAAGCTAGATCTCCTACATATGTGACATTTGGGGAAATAATTGCCACAGAAAGAGCTAGGTAACACACTTCATTAGTTTCAGATTTCTTGTTATTGCTATTGCCATCAATGTCCTTATTTTGTTCTCATCCTGTACCACAGATTGGAAAATAGGTATGTAAGATCCCAACTAACCATGAGGAGGCTGCGTCCTGCCATGCAGAGGGCTCGTTCAGGCACTTTCCCAAACCTTCCTCAGAACTTAGCAGAACTTAGCGCTATCCTGCAAAATCCTGATTGGGAGGCGCTTACCATGACTCTAGATGAAGAAGATTCAATGTATCTTGGTTCCACCTGGAGTGAGGATGGTTCCCATAATATTATATTTGCTAGTAAGAGATGTCTCCAGTTAATGAGAATGGCCTCTGTGATATTTGCAGATGGCACATTTTTCATTAAACCGTCTGTTGATGGGTGCTATCAGGTAAATTAAGAGATTTATTTTTTGAATTAGTGTGTACAGTCCCCAGGAGATTAGATAAATAATTTTTATTCTGTTCTTTAAAGGTGTTTACTATTGTAACCATTTATGGAAATACTGTAAGTAACTTTTTTTTTTTACAAATGAATGTGGACATTACACCTTATCTAATTTCTGTGATGTCTTCTACTCACAGGTTGTTCCGTTGTGCTGGTGTTTGATGGAGAGTAAGACGGAATCTGCCTATATCGCTGTTTTGCTGCTTCTGCGGACTCATCTCATATGGTGGAGTTTCGAAAGAGTCATTTGTGACTTTGAGGATGCAATGATTGCAGCATTTTCAATGGTTTTTCAAGTCCCTGTTCAAGGATGCCTCTTTCATGCTGTTTCTGTGCGTATTTACATTTTATTTTTTTTAAAAAAAGGAGGTTCCACTGAAACTATCGCTATTTTCTAATTGAGTCGCATAGTCAAAATAGGCTGTATGTATGAAGTAAAACTTTATTAACAGCTAAATGTGAACTAAGGCAGCCAGTACCTTGCTTCGGATGCTGTCAACAAGGCTTTCTTTAAAAGTATAGTAACACTCAAAGTATTTTAATGCTATCTGTGGGTCTGGGCATCTTTCACCTTCCTTGGCTGATACATAGAACCAATGGTAGTACTCTGAAAACAATCTGAAGAAAATTTGACTCAATAATTTGAGGATTTAGAATATATTCTTGTATGAATTGTTCGCCTTCTTTAAAAACACTGCCTGTAACTGGGTTTATGATTTCTGTGTCTTTCTTCTAGTAATCATTGTTAAAGGTAAGGCCTAAATTGGCACAATAGACCTCTGATTGAGTAAAGGTCAAGGCATTCTCCTTCTAACTTTGCTTTCAGCTCTTGACCGTATAATTCTTTTTATTCACAATGTATTTTCATAGTGGGACTTGTTTGAAGAAAGTAAGATTTTCAGTGGACACCTCCAGTTTAAAATGTTCAGACTTATGAATTCTACAGCTTCTGGTTGAAACTGCATTTAAGTGCCCTGTTCTCCTAAATTTCTCAGGCTATGTCCAAGCATGCAAGAACCAATATAGGAGTCCCATTTATCCAAGCTCTTGAGGTCCAAATGGTTGTAAGGCTCTGCTGCAGTTTACCTCTCTTGCCCAGTGATTTCCTTCATAGGGGATTGAACATAATTGGCCAGTTAGCTTTAGAAACATTTCATCCACTTCTGTACGCTGTTGTTCGGCCTTTTCTTGCCTATATTCTGCACGAATGGCTTGGTCACATAAATAGAGGAGCTACCCTCAGTGTCTCTGGAAGTGTTCATCGGACAAACAATGCAAGGTAAGAAACTTGTAGATGAAGAAAATGTAATTCATTTCCTCAGACCATTTTCTTAAATGGTATAATTGTACTGTTGTGTTTTTTCTCTTAGCGAATCTAACAATGGCATGATGAAACGGCGATTTGGTGTGCACCATCCTAACATCTATCATTTCCTTGGTTCGTATTCTTGTGACCTAATGGTCTATCAAAAGATTAATTTAAAAATGTCTGACTGCAAGAAGTTAATTCTAGTGTTATGTTTCAGGAAAATTGAAAAATTTTGAAGATTCTATGATTGATGATATTTACAGTCTGTCATTGGGACTCATCCCCAGTCGCCATAGAACTGTGGCAGCTGTTTCAAATGATCTTTACATTCAGCAACTCACCACCCAGCTACTTCAAGATCCCTCAGATTTTCAGATTTTGAATTTTTTGTTTGCTGCATGTTACTCTGTTGAAAATGTAGTTAATGATAATCTGCAGCTGTGAGGTGATACTTGTTTTGTATGATGTTATATAGCATATGTTTTCCTACTTAGATAGAACCCACCTGTGTCATTCCTGTGAATTCTCATTTAAATAACATCATGTTTCTGATCCCTGCTTTAGCATTTTACAACACTTCCTTTGAGTTGACAACTAAATTGAATTTTTTTCTTGTGTCACCAAAACTTGGATATACGTGTATTTTATTGCACGCAGGATTCCATCAAATTTTTTTCTGGTCAAAATTGTTATGCGCATGTTGTAAGTCTCATCTCATACGTTTTTATTTTTGGACTGCGCCTTGGTGTCCGACAGTCTCTCATGTTATTTTTTCATCTGCCTCTCCCTGATACACCCTTTCCTTGTCTTTATTATTTGACTAGCTTTGAATTATTTTTGTTATTGGAGCTTGATGTAATCTAAGTAGGTTAGGCATACCGCAAGTTAAGTCATCTTTGTGGTGATCATTCCAACCTGTTTCCAGCGGTATCTTTTAGAAAATTTTACTGATGTGATTTCTATGTGACCATACGATTTAGAGCTTGAGTAGCTTTTCATGTCATTGTAAAATTATGGCCCGTTCTAAGAAAAAGCTTAGCACTTTGCTGAGATTTTTTTTATTTTTCAGACTACATAATGGTATGCTCCCTGTCTTAATTCCCTTAAATTCATCAAAGCATAATGTTGTCATCATTGTAGCTTGTGTCTTGCATTATCATCAAGCATAAAAGTGCAGTTTCTCTACAATACTGTTAGTGATATTCTGTAGCTTATTTTATTCGGTGAGGCTTGGTGTGAAGTATATGATTGCATTTCCAAGTTGTCATGTTATTTCAGAAGCATAGTTTATTATCCAAAGTTGTGTACTCAAGAAAATTTTGATGTTACCTTTTACTTAGTAGATGGTGAGGTGCAATAAATCTTACTTCTTTAGCGTATGCTGCTAGAGAATCTTAAGTTGTTTTGTTCTGTTTGGCCTGAGAGTTTTCTTCTTTTCAATTCAAATTTGTTAATATATAATGGTTTAATTGAATTTGACCCGTAAAGTTAGACTGAAAAGTTTGCTGAGTGATCTTGTAAGCAAGATGAAAACAAATATCTTTTTCTGCCTCTTTAAAAGAAAAAGAAATGAGCTCTCCATAAATTTAGAAAAGTCACTGTCATAAATCAAAACCTTGTTTCATTCTTCCAAAAATTTCTCGAGGAGGCCACCACTAATTGTGACGGGGCTGTTTTGAGGAATTGAAATTTACCTGAAGAAATAACGTTCGGAGACAAATTACCCTGCCATACATAGGTTGAGGAAAAATTACGGAACTCAAATGGAAACTAACGGGTTACAAAAAGTTGAGAAAAAACATCTTCACTGTCAACAAGTCTGTTTTCTCAGCAATCTGTACGCAACTGTACTGTCTTGCTGATTCAGTTTACCTCTAAGGAAATCAATAGAAAATCATGTAGTTCTTGCATTGCTTAGAAGACCAAGTTCCTGGGAGAGAAAGAGGCCAAGGTCCGATGCACGATGGCAATGAGTCTCATCAATTAAGGCTGTCTGTATTCGCAGACTTAAACAAATTATTAACTCTTCATGAATTATTGAATGAATGATCTTGTTAAAGAAAATAAATGAAGTGTTGAGTTCAGGTCTATCACAAGATTAGCAGCTCTTTTCCAAACCCATGATCTGCTCAAAATGAATGGTAAAATCAAAATTGACCAAAAATCGCTGAGTAGAAGATCGTTTTAACGTCATTTGTTCTCACTGGGAAGTCTTTGGAGAGACACAATGATTGCTTTCATAACAAAACAAGGCAGCGGAGGGCTTATTATTAACAGACTGAGCTCAGCAAATGTTCCAAGCCAGGACAAGGGCTAAATGGGGGTTCGTTTTGACTCTTTCTTGCAACGTGAGTTGATCTCTTACTGCAGTAAAGTCGTCTGCTATGCGCGTATGGCTGGCCAACGTGTGCTATTGGCAGATCAGATCTTCACAAGTGTAAAAAGATTTGGCCGTGATCGTCGAATCTGTTGATTTTAAGCTTAAAAAAAATATTCAAACAGCACAAGACAGACCAAGGTTTTTGTTCTGTCGTTAAAATTTTATCCATTTCGCAGTTTTGAGTTGGCCGAGTGTGGCAACACTGAGTTTGCGACGGTGTTCCTGAGCTCGCCGGAACGGCGAGGTCCTTTCTCGCGCTGGTTGCCGTCGCTGCCGGTCCTCTGCCCCGTGCGCTCCCGCTCTTTTTTGGCGTTCTCTTTGGGATCTCTTTGGTTCTCTTCTTTGCTTCGTCATGCAGTCACGAGTGGAAGAAGGTATGTATCACTCGATACGTCTGTCATGAAATTTTGATATTCGGAGACAATGCTCCCCGTCGCGTCCCCAGTAAAGTCTGTCTCGCCGCCCCCCCGCCCTTTCAGACAAGCAGGTGGGCGACCATTTTGAAGCCACCTCGTGAGTTAAATGAAGTTATCCAACGCCCTAACCAGTGGTCATTTTCTTCTTTGGCGTTGCCCTGCTGCGGTCGTTATTATTTGTGTTCATGTAATGAATGACTCCAGCTCAATCCATGGACGCCAGTTTTGGCGCGTCCGTTAGCGTAGGCCTGGCCGCCTAGCCCAACCGCCCGGCGTGTAAGTGCGCCATCTCAACTGTATGCCTATACTTTCAAACTTGGCTTGCAAAAGCTTGGACCCCAAAATTGATCCTCTGCTTTTACGGTTAAATGTGAAAATTGGCGCACTTCACTGGAGCACGCACAAGCCGGGGCGAGGAGGACCATCGAGTTTGCCGGGCGGCAGCCATTGTACTTTTTTTACAAGCTTTGTTTACGTATTTTGCCGAAGAGCCAGTGCATTTGTGTGGGCAATATTTTACGTTATGGCAACGGTGTTCCATGAAGAGTGTTCCTTGAAATGGAACACCTTGGCCAAAATGTAAAATACTGCTCAAACAAATGAGCTGGCTTGTTGTCAAAATACGTAAACAAACCCGTCGGGCTTGGAAAAAAGGAGCCTCCCTTTCCCCTCCCCCTGCTCAAATTACTCTTTACTTGTTGCAGAAGCTGTGGACGATCCAGCACCCGTTGTGACGACCACCTCGCAGGTGCCCTCCTCTGCCACTGTGGCTGCAGTGTCACCCATGCCTTCAACGTCATCTGGGGCTGGAGCTGCCGCATTTATGACTCCACCTGCCACCATGATGCCATACATGCAAATGCAGCCATCTCAACCTGCTGCTGGGGCTGGAGCTTCCTTCATGCCTTCAACGTCATCTGGGGCTGGAGCTGCCGCATTCATGACTCCACCTGCCACCATGATGCCATACATGCAGATGCAGCCATCTCAACCTGCTGCTGGGGCTGGAGCTTCCTTCATGCCTTCAACGTCATCTGGGGCTGGAGCTGCCGCATTCATAACTCCACCTGCCACCATGATGCCATACATGCAGATGCCGCCATCTCAACCTGCTGCTGGGGCTGGAGCTGCCGCATTCATGACTCCACCCCGCACTGGGATGCCATTCATGCAACCTGCTGCGGCTTCTGGGCCTGGAGCTGGTGCCTTGATGACGGCTCCCTCCCCTATGCAGTTCTTTCAAATGCCGTCTCCATCCCAAGCGTCCCCTGGTCCTTTGCCATTAATGAGCCCAGTGGCTTCAACTTCTGCTGCTGGAGCTGGAGTGGCATTTATGCCAGGGACGTCTTTCATGCCAATGGCTGGCTCGAATGGTAAGTATGCATTACCCCTTCAGTTTTTTTTCTCCTTCGTGTTCATGCACCAATAACTGCTTGTTTGGCAAGATCCGGTTATGGGGTTTAGCTACCCTATTGACCTAAAAATTGCGCTTTTCCTCACCTTTATGTATGAGATTCATCTGAAATTTCTTATAAGAAAATGTCTATGTACAATTTGTATCCTGCATACGTTAAGGGGGCTCATACATGTTAAAAGCACTTTGCAAAAACTTTGTTTTGATGTAGAAGGATCAAATTTTTATTTTTTCTGTATTAAAACCATTTTAGATAGTTGAGTAAGCTTCATTTTGGCTTTAAGTAAAGTGACTTTGGACACTTTTTGGAACTTAAGTAGAAACGTTTATAAGTTTGGTTTTCCAAAGCAAGAAAAAACTATTGCAGAGAAGAAGCCCATTCTAGTCAATTCTATGACACTATTAGGGATGAGTCTCGCTGATTTTCCCCCCACAGATCTGAACAAGTATGCAAACAAAATCTTTCGAGAACCAAAATTTTAAACGTTTCTACTAGGTTTCCAAAAAGTGTCCAAAGTCACTTTACTTTATGCCAAAATGAAGCTTACTCAACTATCTAAAATGGTTTTAATACAGAAAAAATAAAAATTTGATCCTTCTACATCAAAAAAAAGTTTTTGCAAAGTGCTTTTAACATGTATGAGCCCCCTTAAGCTTTTTGAAACCCCAGAAAATCAGTAACATGACCTGTTCTCTCATGCCCTCTGCTTTTTAATCGTCATCAGTTTAAGCTTCCTCATCCCAATTCCAATCCTCCATAATACTAAACCAATTATTTAAATTTATTTTTTGTGATTTGTTTTAGGAAACGCCTTGCCATGGGAGATGGGCATGATGGGTGCGACCTTACCACGAAGGAAGCCGGGCAGACCCACCAAGGAGGAAGCCATGCGTCGTGCCAACATGGTACATGATTTTCAGCAGCGATACATGGCGATGCAGCAGCAGCAGCATCAAATGAACGCATTCATGATGCAGCAGCAACAACAGCATCAAGTCCAGAACAATCAGCAGCAGGGACCTGTGCATCAACTAGCACCAATTCACCAGCAACAACAGCATCAAGCCCAGAACAATCAGCAGCAGGGACCTGTGCATCAACTAGCACCAATTCACCAGCAACAACAGCATCAAGCCCAGAACAATCAGCAGCAGGAACCTGTGCATCAACAAGCACCAATGCACCAGCAAGAGCAAGCATCGAGCCTGCAGCAAGGACCAACTCAGCAACAGGCAGTGAACCAACAAACATCCAACGGGGAGCAGAACAAGACTCGACAGTGTTTAGTGTGCGCAGCTGAGCCCATCGACACTATCATTCCATGTGGACACTTTGTGTGTGAAGGTTGTCTTACTAATGTTATTCTTCATCACCGGGTCATTGGGCACTGCCCAGATGGGTTTTGCCGCAGGGAAGTGAAGGAGGGACAACTCATCACCCTCAGATATTCCTAAGGACTCTGGCTTTTCTTGACTGGCTACGAATATAGTGAAAGTCGAACGACTTTCATTGCACTGGATTCTCTGGCTCTTTTGCATGTTTTCTGATTTTAGCTATGGTGACTTGATTGCTAAGGTGATCATTGCATGTTTTTTTAATAAAAAGTATTATGTGGCATCAATTATTGTGTACTATATCATTTGCCTTGCTTTTCCTGGAGCAAAACACCATGAAATAAGTTGTAGAATTATTTTTGTCAGCAATGGCCTTTATTTTAAATATTGCATGGAACAACATACTGACAAGAAGTAGAAAACTGTAGGACAATATCTTTGTCTCAATACTTAGTTTGCATGTCTGACAGAAGAACACATTCCCTCTCTGGAATTCAGTGCTAGATAACATAAGAAACCCAAGTTAAGTATTGACGTAGTTGCAGCAACAGTAACCACAGAATGATGAAAAAGAGGAGAAAAGGACTAGTACATGATTGCAAGTTAAATCTACATTTTACTCAGATGAAAGTGAACTTGAGGAAAGGCGGAGTACAGAGTGTGGAATGATAATGTTAGGGATTGGCGGGGAATGAAAGGGAGACACGTCCGCACAGTTAGAGGTTTATTGCCGATTGAGTAGCCGGGTAGAAGTGCAGTTGGTGGTTTCCAGGGCGCCCAGTGCAGGGGCCAACAGAGAAGGATGGCCTGCCGCTAGGCCATAGTCGGTGACGAGAGGAACCCTTACGTTTATCCTCCTTCGGGCAGTCGCGGCTGAAGTGGCGTTTAGGCCGTGGCAAAGGAAGCAGCGCGCGCGGCCTCGTGCAGGCGCCTGCGTTGGCCGCGCAACAGGTCGCGGAGCTCGGCCACCAGCGACCGGCCCTCGGTTGCGGACGGACGGCGGCCACGCGCACGTCGGAGTCCTGGTGGGCAGCTGCGGCAGGCTACTCCTCTTGGTCGACGGCCTCCAGCCGGACGCCCGCGTTGACGGTCTCGGCGAAGGTGTCCAGCTCGCGGATGTCCCGGGGCACCTCGCGGTCGGCGAGGCCGGCGATGAAGGCCGCGCGTGCGGTTCACTGTAGCGGGTTGGACAGGCGCACCGTGCGGGGACGCGCCGACGTCGCCGTAGCCTTCCAGGATGTCCCCGCCGAAGTTCACGACGGCCTCACCTGCGGACTGATTCCGAGAGTCGTTTCCATCGCTCTGTCTCTCTCGCACCGACACGGACGCCCCCGTGAGTGCGAGAGAGACAGAGCGACGAAAACGACCCTCGGAGTCAGTCTGCTTACCGCTGCACGCGTCGGCTCAAACTCGGCCGTGGCCAGGGTGCGGCGCTGCGTTGGGTCAAAGTGCGCCTCCAAATGGGCCTGGTGCAGAGACTGCACCAGGTCGGCGGCGCGGCCCTTGAGGGCCTGCAGCAGGCGACGCGACGGCCCCGGGTCGTCCGGCTGTCAGACGTGGGTGCCACTCTCGAACTTGGCCAGGAACACCGGCCACGAGGTCCTGCCATCCAAGTCCTGGATGGCTCCCCGCTGGCGGCGGTGCTGGCCATCGACCTGCCTGGCTGAGCGCTGTTAGGGTCGGGGAGGTGGTGGCGAAGGTCTTCGCCAGCTGCTCCAGGGTGGCGGCGGCCCGGCGGTGTCCGGGACTCTGGCCGTAGCTCGCTTGGTCCCTGTCACGCCGGTCGCCTGGGCTGCGGCTCCGCTCGCGCCACGGCATGCTGAGCGCCTCCTCCGGTTGTTACTGGTGGTCGTTGCCCAGATCCCACTTCTGACACCAATGTAAATCAGGCGACTTGGTAGGGAATCAAAGGGTTTACTGGCGGGGTGGCCAGCAAGTAGCCGGCGGGTGTTAGTCGCGGGGTATTCACGGGGTGGCCTCGTAGGCAAGGGGTATCCCCTCCCGGCTGGCATGGAGGTGGAGTGGGTTGCATACGCCGCAGGCTGAAGTGCGAGCGGAGCCGCCGTGCAGCCGAGCCAAGCCGAACCAGCCAGCAAAGACGAGCCGCCGAGCCGGGCCAAAGCCGATGCCGAGGCGAAGCCGCCTTTCGATGCGATTCGAGCAGAGCTGACCCTAATCCAAATCCGACTTGCGGGCTTGCGGGCTACGTATCGCGAGGCAGAAACGTGGACATGCAGGACTTGACTGTCGATTTGGGATTGCATGGTGCTCCCTCCCTTTTTCATGTGAATAATGGTTTTTATTATCGTTGCTACCGGGTACGTGGTTATACCGCGTACTTGCGATGCACAGAATTTAGGCTTGGTTGTCCTGCACGTGGACTAGTAAGGGTTGGCGGACATTTCCAATTGAATAATGAAGTTCACAACCATGAACCAAATTTCCAACTTATTCCGTATCTTGAAGAACGGCGAATATTGATAGAAGAAGCCAAGCGATTAGATATTGCATCATTTCAGGAAATCTTTAACCATCGCAGGTCAGTAGTTAAAGGTAAAAATTGTTGACGGTTTATTTTCTGCCAATTTTTTTTACATCCAGGTCGTTGTCCTTTTAGGATTGTTGACAGCGACTTGACAAACAACCATTTGTACCGTTCTATGTTAAGAGCACGTATGGATGTGCTGCCTCAACTTCACAACCTACGTGACCTTCTGAATGCTCTTGAAAACCAGTCCTACACTTGTATTTCTGCTACAAGAAATTTCAGTGAAATACTATTCAAAGATTCAAGTAGACTGCCAAATGGATCTACTGTGCTCCTGTTCATGAGCCCAAGATGTTCTTCATTCCTTCAAATAGCCCCAGATATTTTTATTGTACAGTCGTTAATTGGCGCAAGTTATGATGTAAGCTTATTTAATGAAATTCATGTTTTTCTGGCTTAGGTAATGTGTTACTTAAAGTTTTGATTTTTGTATTTGTTATGTTTTAGCTGCTAACTATCGGCTGTCTCTGGGAAAAAAGAGTATGTGCAAATTATCTGTTACAACTCGAGTTGATCATCAATTTCTTTAAAGACCCGCCTGACATAAATTTCCGTTTCAGGTGGTATGCCTTGGATTTATTTTGATGGATGGAAGAACAGCAGCTAATTTCAACGCTGCCTTTTATCTGTTACGGACACACTTAAATACCTGGATCTTTCAGGAAGGAATTTGTGGAGAAGCCAACCCTCTCCCTAGTGCTTTTTCTAATACTTTTGGTGTACCTCTGTACCCATCTCTGTATGACTTCATACGAGTAAGTTTTTGTTTCCTTTTTCTGCTTTTTTTTTACATTTAGCAAGACACCCTACATTTTAATTTTGCAGGATGCCAAGTCATTTATACTTAATGGAGAAGTAATGCAATCACCTGAGGCTAAATATTTGCTTGGTTTGTGCTTTACATTGACACTTCTACCTTGGGATATCATGCCAGTTGGAGTTCTATTCATTCAAGCAGAATTTTGTCGGCTGCAGGGTAACAATATACAATTGTTTCTATGCATGCAAGAAATACTGCAGATGCCACATTTCTCCATATGTGCTGACAAGGACAGAACTCATTTTGGCATGTAAGCAGTCACTACAATGCCCAATTAATGCAAATGACTTTGGTTTCACAAAGTAATGCAGTCTACAATTCTTTACAGAGAACGCCTAAGGGATCAGCTGAACCGATATTTTGCAAATTTCGATGGAAATATATATGCTATCATACGTAAGTCCACTTGAAACTTCACTTAAAGTCATTGAAGTACTATTGTAAAGAAATCTTTTCCTCTGTCCAGGGTACATTGTATCTTCAACTGAAAGATCTTTAATCAAAATAGATTCCATTGGCCGGGCAGAAAGGCCACCAGCACAATCACCACCCTCATCTCTGTTAGATGACTCTACGAGTAAGCAACTCTTCAAGGATTTGATTCGTCCTCCGCTAAATGTGCAGTTATCGGTTGTCCTTTTTATGCAAGCAATGGTGGGAAAATTGAATCCATTTTTACAGTGAATCGTGGTTGAAACTTGGTTAATTGTTGTTAAACTGCGGATAAATTTGTTCCTAGTTTCTGTTGTCCAATTGGCCTCACAGCTGTATTTCTCAGTACTTGTAATAATCTGTGACCAAAAATGAAAGTTTCAACTATAATGCTGTTTTTTGTTTGTGCGTTTTGATTCCAAAAGGGAAAGGCATGAATAAAATCTACAACACAGATAACTTAACAAACCCATGTAGGGAAAAATAATCCAGTCCAAATTCAAAGGGTGAAAGGATGATACAAAAAATAGTTCAGATTTCAATTGAAATTTTATTTTGATTGTTGGGATACTTAGCATGAATTCACTGTAACATAATAGATTGGCAGGTACAAAAACAAGTTTAAACAGGACATGAGGAAATAACAATGTGGAACACATGGACAGTAAATACTCCTTTATCCATTTTGATAAAATCACCTAAAGACTCGTAAGATTAAGAAACAGATATATGTATAATTTCAGCCACTACACTGACAAAACAATACTTTTGAAGTGATTTGAATGCTGTTTTAATTTTGCTGACTGTCTGACAGCTGCAAATTTATATCATATACTCTCTTGAGGAATTGAGGGCAAGTAGTAGATCCCATATTAACAATAACTGAAGTAAGCAAAACTTCATAAGGCTTACAGCACACATTTAACCAGTGGGGCAGTGACAATGGTCGGAGAACAGCATTTTACTCTGAGTGACGTTTGCCATGAAGACATTAAAAGGACATTGGTTTATTGGAACGTGGGCATTGGGCAATACTATGTTTCCACCATTCATCCAAACCATGAAGTATACACCTTCAAACGTAAGGAAACAACCGAGAGCAAGTCTCACATATCATGTTTTGCACAATCAACGGTTCTCTTTTCTCTCTTTGGATTTAACTGAAGTTATGAGGCTCTTAGTTTTCAGCTGGGACAATCTCTTAATAAGCCAGATTGCAATAACATTTGTAATTTTGAGAATAAATTTAAACTTGACCAATTCCAGCAGGATACCAAAAAAAGCAGTCTAAGAACAAACACTAATCTGGTGGAGTTGTCAACCAAGTAGCAAAGACAGCCATCTATTCAATAGTAGAGACAGCAAATAAATTAAATGAAAACACCAGAAGAATATTTTAGAGAATGAATACCTCTTCTTATCCTTCATTCAAAATAAGGACCGGTAAATAGACATTTCAAACCTCAAAGAGAGCTTTTAAAGACAGTCTATTTTGACTAACAGAATATATAAGGTTTCAAAAGTTAAATTCATCTACACATATCAAGAAATCAAGAAATATTTTGGAAAAATTCTACAAACATTACACCAGAATTAGTGAAAAGGTACGTCAAGTAAATGGAACAAAACAGTCTCCCTTCAAGTATACCTCAGTTGTGTTTTATGAACTGAACTCACTAGAATTAACAATTAAAGGCTCTTTCAGACACTACAATAAACTGATTGTTGGAAAAAGAAATACTACGAAATAAGTAAAATTCTGGGAAGGTACTTTTAAGAAAAATACTGGGATGATTTTCACACATTAAAAGTTGCAACAATGGGGGTTAACACAGTAGTGTGAAAAAAAAAGGACGAGAAAATGAATGAAATCAAGTGATGAGGCATTACATGACCTTGATCAAAGGCCCATTTACTACAGATACAAAAAAAGGAATTTTTACGGTATTGCATGTGTTGTACAATACTGGCTTTACTTCTGGCAATGACAGGATGTTGGGAAAGAGCTGTTCACACTTGATTTTTTTCGAATGTGCCTGCCCCTCATATCAGGGATCAAACCACTCCCTGAGAAATGAGACAGAGCACTATTAATCCAAGAATCACAAATGCATAGAGTATTTTTAAACATGGTCTTGCAGACCCTTCTGCGCGTTCCATTGATCAGGAAATAATAACTCCTACTCATGTGTTTCTCTTTCTTGGACCCTGGTAAAGCACACTTTTTCTTGAGAGGCTTTAAAATAATTGACCCTAACAAAAACATCCACTGACGCTCATGGGTGGTCAGACTCCAAAAATTATCAAATATCTTGTTTCTTTCGTCTATGGTGAGCTTGGGAATTTCGCATCTTGAACAGATCTGCGCGCAAGGACTTTTCAGGTGCCGTCCATCCTTTAGTTTGCTAATGACAGTTCCATAATGGCCATTGGACACACTCAGCCCCAACGCTGCTGCCTTCATTTTCACATGAAGAGATCTTGGATGCTCGACAGTCTTCAGACAACGACACACAGTCAGGAAGTCAGCCGGTGGCTGAGGCTTAAAGATACTTTGTACACTTGACAATATTCCAGCAGAAACTGCAATGTGACAAAACAAAGTAAATCAAAATGAAGATGTGAGGATAGCACTTTGAAATATACTTTATAAATATATACCATCTTTCAGCTCCAAGTTGTGCCCGGGACTATGGTCACAAGCGGAACATTGATGTCCTTTTAAGTCCTCTGCTTCCCAAACCGACTGACACAGCACTAGAATAGAGAACACGAACAAACAGGATTGCCTTCGGCTATGGAGGATGGAGGACAGCTCTATTCGGCAATAACCTTACTCTGCCTTACTCACAGTCAACTCTATGTACAGCCGATAAAGCCGATTCGTATTCGGAGGAAACTTCTCCCGGCATTTTTTTAAATGAAAAAGGTATTATTTCCGAGAAACTTGAGATCCAAAAGAAACTTAATCCTTGCCCGACTAAAGGTGATTGAAATGAAATCTTGAGTTATTGTACTGCTATATACTGCTAGCAGTACACAGTAAAAGCTTTTCTTATTCGTTTTATCTTCTCCTGCTCCTCCAGGGAGTACAACAAAACAGGTGTGGAATAAGTAGAGAGTAACGAAAGCGTCCCTAAGCTGCTATTTATCGAAAATGAAAACAAATCATCCACAAGTTAAACGTGCCGTTGTTAACGTAGATTTTCAGGGAGCAGTTTTTCTTTAATTTCTGCGGTTTGGAATTGGCAGAACTGGATCGGGGCCACGAAACAAAAGAAGGCGTCTCACTCGGCCGTAAAAAGCGTCGCTTTCTCTCTCTCATGCTCCCGCCCTTTTCGTCGTGCTCACGTATCTTCGCCTTTGCTCTATAAACGCTAAAATGGCACCAGAACCAACAGTTAATATGCAAAGACGCATTATGCGTGATATCACGGACATATCTAAGGTAAGGGTAGGGTAATATTTGGACCTTAGCTTGTACACTTCAAGCTCAAGGGCCACCCGCATAGCAGTCCCTTTTCGTGACTGAGCTTCTTTATGTATTCCTCTAAGAAGTATTTGCACTTTTCAGATGGAAAGTGATTACATACTGATTGATGGAGACCACCTAAACTACATTAAGGTTGTGATCACGGGGCCACCATCCAGCCCATTCGAAGGGGGCATCTTTGAGGTAACACTCGATTTGCATAAATTCCCAGCGAAACCACCAAAGGTAAATACTTTCCAATGTTTCTGAACAGTACCAAGACAGTAAATGATAAAGTGTATTATGATGATTTCTTCTTTGTTTTAGGTTGTCTTTGAAACTCCGGTATTCCATCCAAATATTTGTCCTTATGAAGGCAAAGTCTGCATGAACATTTTGAATCCCACTGAATGGTAAGAAATTGCAATTTTGTTTAAAAACCTGTCGTCTTTATTGCTTGTTAAAACTGTGCTATTAGTATTTCACTATCTTATTTCTCTAGGGCTCCTGCAACCAGACTGGTGCAGATCCTTGAGGCGGCAAGGTCGCTCCTTGACCAGCCTAACGCTGCCTCGCCCCTGAATGGGTCTGCCGCATGCATGCTCAGGATGAATCAAAACATGTATGTGGACACCATTCGAGCTTGGACCCATGTGTTTGCAGGAGGTAGGTTTGTCTTTTTTCTTTGTTTCAAAGAGAGAAATGGTATTAAAATAAGATTTTTATACCAACCAGTCAGTACATATAATTTTAAACCATGAAAATTCAAACGTCACTAAATTAAATAACCACTCCTCTTGTCCTTCATGGCCAGACACACAACCGTAAGGGAAGGGTCACACAGTTGTTTTCAAAATGATTGCTAATGACAAGTGCCTCTTCAAATGCTGCATTTAGTCTGATCTCTTCTTTGTTATCTCTATTTCAGGTGATGGGAGCAGAGTTCCACAACACATGTTGGACCTTATGAACCAAGCCACTGAGAGACTGCATATTACAAAAGCTAAGGCACTTCGACTCTTGACTAGACATGAATGGATTCCTAATCGTTTGACCCGCCGTTCATCGGAAGATGAATCTGACTAATTTTGTTGTCTTTTGTTTGGGTCTGATGCGGATGTTGGTTTGTTTGTACAATGGCATTCTATATCTTAAAAAACAATTATGTTGTCTGATATTGGCTTGTGGATGTTGGTTTGTACAATGGTATTCTGTATCTAAAAACAATACTTTCATTTCTTGTCTGATGTTGGCTTGTACAATGGTATTCTGTATCTAAAAAACAATACTTTAATTTCTTGTCTGATATTGGTTTGTGGATGTTGGTTCGTACGATGGTATTATGTATCTAATGAAAAAATACTTAAATTTCTTGCAATACAGCCAATCATTTTGTAGCATTAATTCTTTGTGCTATATTTACCCTACTATTCCTGGACATCAGTGAACTCCGCCAAATGTGGCTTTGAATCACACATGAGCCAGTAAGAGAGTTCTTAAGATACAAAGGGATGATATAAGGCAAAAATCTTAATTGGTTTTAAGCAACTGCCTTTATTTTCAATAACAGGAACACAAACTAACAAACAGGAGAAATCAGGACTTGTGTGTCATAAAAAGACACAAAACAGTAAGACAAAATTTGAAAACATTGGAAGATCCAAGTTAGAAAATGCCTTGGTAAATGGAACATACATTTTGTTTAATTACAATCTAGGATAGGGAGAGTTCCTAAATATTTCACAAAGACAAGATATTCAAATGCAGTAAAACTTTTGTTTCCAAAAATATAAACTGACAAAAGACCATAACATTATTGGAATAGGCTCCCATGGCATCATGTGACTGACACTTTACAATACTCCAGAAAATTTTGAGATCAATCCAAGGGCAGTCTACACAGAAAGCAATCTATGAGAGTTTGAAAAAGGGCGTTCACACAGACCAAAGCAGCTGTATGTCTGTCTATGCTTACAGTGCATCAACGAATGTTCCTTTGGCTGCGAAGTACACATATTCTATTCTACTTTCAACAACTTACAGGTATCACATCAAATATTCTAGGTAAACAAATGTTTAAAACATGTAAGTGGAACAAAATACAGTGTTTTTGCAAATCTTCAGGGTTGGAACTCTCTTAACAGAAAAATTCGGACTTGGTCTCATTTAAAGTCAACATCTAAAGCAAAAGGTGGTAAAACTCAAAGGAAAGCACAAGATCACATCCAGCCTTCAAAGAAATATAGACTGATTACTTCAAACCTCAACATGAAGTGATAAATAATTTGTATGCCAGAACTCAGTGTCACTACAAAATAGAAAATGACCCAAATTTAAAGCAATTAGTTAGGGTTAAACCAGACAAAATACACTCATCCTAAACTCATTCTAACAGAGAAATTTCTTTAAGGCCATGGCAACATTATAGAATTACCAGCAAGACTATTAAATAGGAAATCCTGGACAAGAGAATATGCACGACACGAACCTTGCAATGTAAGCTAAAGATTTAGGAAAAGCAGCATAGAAACCAAAATGAACCTTAATCATGCATAACATGAAAGCAGGTCTGACAGCCGGACAGGTTAGTAACTCTGGTACTTTGGACAGGACATGGGGAACCCTTTTTGGGGAACAATTTCATGCCAGCTTTAATGTTCAGTGCGAAACCTGATTCTTTTAAAAATAATTATGGTCCCATTAAGAGGCAAAATTATTTAACCAATAGATGATGTTATTGTTTCCAATGGCTCCCACCTTTAACAGTTAAATTATTTTAAAATGTTCTAATTGGTACGAGTCGGTTCAACATTGCGTTTTACCGCCATATAATTTAGCTCAGAGAGTTACAGGCCCCCGACCCTTTTGTAGTGGTAATAACACACATCAAGCCAAACTATCAAAGGTCAACAGCTCAAACCATCAACTTTACAAATTCCATGCCAAAAAATGGTCAACAAAACCATGAACCATCTCCAGAAAAGGCAAAAGCCACAGGTAAATAAAGCAACTGAACAAAAATAACATTTCAGAATGAAAAGCGGATAGGAAAGCAAGTGGAAGAAACTTAAGCAAACCATGCTCCATGAGACACGTTTGAGTCACTTGAGACACTTGTCCTTTTGCCACATCTCCTATCTTAAACCTATCAGACAAAGATTTTCATAAACATTTGTTGGCACATTCCAAATGGTCTCCATGTATCTGCACGTTGAACCAAACCACGTTGACGCACCACATTGGCTAGAAGAAACATGAAATTCTCACTGCTACCACACCTAGCAGGATAAGGCACAGCAATTAATGGAAGACTGTGCACATGGACAGCACCGCTCCAACTAGTGCTTTAGAGTTGTCCATTAAAGAGCCTAATAAACTAAAGTACACATTAGAGAGATACATTTCATTACATTTGTAAACAGAGTTACTATGACTGTGGCTAGCACCAACGTCACTTTGAAATGGTTATTGTTGAGGAAATTGATGATAGTCAAAAAACCAATGTAAGAAAGATACACTGCTTAAATTATCAAACCCATATCTCTTCTACCCATGGTAAAGCAGTTTCTGTTCCGAGGCTTTCCTTACTCATGAAGACAGTCGTTGTGCAGGGCCACCCTGCAAACACATGAAAAGTGGATTCACTTTGTAGCCCTCAACGTTCACAAAATTTGGGACAATATGCCCAGCAAGGCAACCTACTCTCATACTTAGGAGATGACAACTTTCAATAATGTATAGTGTAAATTTGACTAATATACTACAAAATTAATAATTACTACACCATGACGTATTTCCACCACTTGCCTTGAAGGCAAAATATACAGGGCAACTAAATAAATACCATAAATGGATTGATGTTGGGGCAATCATGCTGACCACTCAAAAACAATAATTTGAATAAAAAAACAAGAGAAACAAACTTTTTATACTGAAATAGATGGGAAAGGTAGTGTAACTTCTTGAGGCAAGTGATGTATGGCCCATTCAGTGAATCCTGTCCTTGCGGCGACCCTTTGCTATGTAGGCCTTTTCTTGGTGCCATCATGAGTGTGGCAAACAGCCTCGAAACAACGAGCAAAACAAAGGATCGAACCCTTATAACGCACCGGAACAGCACTCGGACAATGAGGCCCCCAGTGGGGCTGTGGCTGTTTACCTTTCCTTTGAGGGCGGCGAGGACAGGGTTCACTGATTGCACCATAATATCCATCCATTGATGTTTATTTAATTACTTGTTATCATCTTAGACACCTTAAGGTGGAAACAAACAAACACCAAATTTGTTAGCTTGCTGCAGACATTCTTCCAACCAATTGTAATCAGAACGCATGATTAAAGAGACAAAACTATAGAAAATTCACAGACAGTGCTAAAGACAGTTATTGGACTAAAGAGAAAGAAACATGACTGCATTGAACTGAAATAGGTACTTACTTTATCTTGATACAAGGCCCATCCGACAACAATAACTTCAGACAAGCTGATCCGTCTGATATCCCGAAGTTGAAAATTCCTGCTGACTGGAGGCGCCGGGAGCCGAGGCAGCAGCAGTTCGAAAGGCATCAAGTGGCAGATCCGCAAGTCCCATTTCATGGCACTGTTAGAGAAAAAAAACGTTTAGTGACCAGGAAACAGATAGCTAGAAAGGGTTAGGTGAGCCTATTGCACTAGGACCCAGGAACGCGTCGGCCACGCTTTGAGTCTATTTTCATCAAACACAACGACACGGCTTGAGAGGTACAACACATGAATCATAAATATGCACTCGTGCACGAAAGATAACTTAGACAACAAGAAAAGATTCCATTGCATTCTGCCAGTGCATTCTGCCAAATTCATTCCACGAAGTAAACAAAACAATGCGTGAGGGGCCAGCGGCATGAGAAATAATGAGTTCAGGCCCAGGCGCGAGAATAACATATTTCTCATAGGAAAACCGATCCGGCAAGTCGGATTCCGCTCGGGCCGAGCGGCTCGGCCTCGGCTCGGCATCGGAAAGCGCTCGGCTCGGCCCGGCTCGGCTCGTCTTTGCTGGCTGGTTCGGCTTGGCTCGGCTGCAGGGCGGCTCCGCTCGCACTTCAGCCTGCGGCGTATGCAACCCACGCCACCTCCATGCCTGCCGGGCTTGGGATAATGCATAGTTGCCGGGCGCTGAGGAAGGCACATCTGCTTCTGGTCAGTCCCCATGCTTCACTGCAAGTTTGCTGCCCACAAATTTGTCAAGTCGTTTTGATTGCCATGGCAAGTATTGACCAGAAATCTTCAAAAGCTTTCCCAATTTCGGCCAGCTGGGGAGTGTTTCTGACCCAAGCTTGCCGTCTTTTTTGGCATTCAAAACGCGGCTTGCCAAATTTGTGGTGAGCAAACTTACCAGGGTCTCAGTCATGCTGGCGGAGGCTCGCAGGCCTGCAGACCTGAGTCCGATTCCGAGGATCGTTTTCGTCACTCCATCTCTCTCCGGAAACAACCCATGAAAACGAGAGAGACAGAGACAGAAAATGACCCTCGGGATCGCACTCCTGATGCAGCCCCGGCCGCTCAGTGTCTGTATTTCGAACGGGTTGCTTACCAGCGAGGCAAGATGTGTCGGAGGAAGATTCCCGGCACCGTTCCACAAAACCACATCTGAATCTGTGAATTGTTGGTACTCTTCTCGTCTCGAGATAACGCGTCCCAGCAGAGGGTGGTCTGGGGAGAGCTGCATCTGAATGTGAACCGAGGCACCTCTCGTCTTCCCCAGCCGCGTCGCCGCCAATCCTCACTGCAGAGCCAAAGTTGACCAGACCAGGGAGTGACCAGCATTTCCCTGAAACAGTAGAAAGTTTTAAAAGCATCGCGGAAACGTGACGGGCGGGACCAAGCAGTGGGGGGCAAACACACAAGTGCAAAACAGCAATGGAGGAAGAGCTAACCCTCTTCTCTTTGAACGGTATTCGAACCCGCTGACTGATTCCGAGAGTCGTTTTCGTCGCTCCGCCACTCTCGCACCTACACGTGACGCCCAGTGAGTGCGACAGCGACAGGGCGACTAAAACGATTCTCGGAATTAGTCAACAGGCTGCAGAGTAGAGACACTCCACAGTCCTTGCGCAAGAAAAGCAGTGACCTCCTCCCTGCTGGGCCCGCTGCCATGCCTTCATGGCACCCAGGGCGCATGTGCATTTCGGTGTGCATAACGCACGGATGCCCAACGAGGCGTCCTCGCTTTGAGTACATCCATTGCGGAACATGCAAAAACAGCGTATTGAAGCCAGTTTGCCTTACTTGGCGAGGCAGGCGGATAGAGTGCAGTCGGAAGGAAAGGAATGCCCTCAGACCGCGCGTGCGTAATAGCGACATGTGCGAAGTACGGGCGGAGGAACTCACCTGGGCTCCCACTCACCAGCGCACCGCGAGCCCCCGAAACTTAGGCAGGCAGCCTCTCGGGGAGTCGAAAGCCTGGCCTAGTCCAGAGGCTCGAAGCCGGTGCGCAGGAAGACGAGGGCCCTTGCCATTGGCCAACCGGCCCTCCCACATAGCTTTACAAAGGTAGTACATGGGAGTAAAGCGAAAAGTGTGTGTTTGTGGGGGGGGGGCGGACTTCCCACATTCGTTGTTGAAAATTTGAACACATTCCACATTGAGGTGGCAAATACTCCTGTAAGTAGGCAGCGCACGCGGCAGATGCAGCAGAAATCTTGCACACTCCCACAATCAGTGTGAACAAAATGTTACAGTAGGTTTCCTCTCCGCAGAAAGGCTTTATACATAAGAAATTCCTTTTAAAGAGGCTGCGGTAATCAGGTTTAGTGCGCGCTCCACCGCACGAAAGCTGCCGGGCCAGCGCAAGACCTCGCCGTCAACGGACCATGAACTCGAGAGCCGTCAGGGTAGGCAGCCAGCCAGCCACCAGTCCGACGCGTGTTGTGCGGGTCGGCCTACCCTGCCTTTGCAGGCGCTTACGGAGCCGATGCTCAGGCATGGTTAGGGCCGCGGTGACAAACAAGAAACAATCTCATAATGTTGAATGGCGATATCAGTGGCTGGAAGGCGAGCCGCTTCTGGGTCCTCGCGAGAACACCGCCGGCGAGGTAATGCTGCTACAGCGCGGGCAAGGATTTGGATTGCGATGTTCATCGATCACGCGTCTCATGAGTGGCCTCGCATCACCCAAATCACATCTAGAGCCTCCACTGCGGTTTGTCACGTTCATGGCGACAGGTAGGACAAGTTGCGCCAGTGCGTATGCGACGCCCACGGTGATGGCTTTGTCCTGGAGTGGGACGCCGCGGCGAGGCGGTGGCGGGTCCGGTGCGGTCTCCACCGACCCGGCCTCCACGTACTCCGCGTCCTTCCCGGACTCACCACGTTTGCGCCGCGTCTACCTGAGTGGCTCACGAAAGTGACCATTAGCGCCGGGGCCGGCCCATAAGTGGCTTGATTAAGGGAGTCGGGGGCACCCTACAAAATGCCTATTTGCGCCGATCTGTCAAGCTGGTTGCCTACCCTGTTGGTGTTAGGCGCTAAGACTAAGGCACTTCCAACATAAAAAAGATAATCGTACATGCCAGACACCTGCAGCAAAGCGAAGTCAAGTCTCTCTCTCTCTCTCTCTCTCTCTCTCTCTCTCTCTCTCTCTCTCTCTCTCTCTCCTCTCTCTCTCTCCTCTCTCTCCCTCCCCCTGAGGCACTCGCCTCCCTTGCTTGTTAGGGTAAGAGTCATTGATCCAGCCATTGATCGATCAAAAATATAAAAACAAACTGCACTGTCACCAAACTGCACTGTCACCACGACGGAACTTCCGCTGACGGTGATCGGTGCGCTCGCTCGGCTCGGCTTGGCCGGCTTGGTCGGCCACGCGTCCGTGTGTCCGCTGGCTGACCGGCCGGCCGTCCTCCACCCAGCGCAAGTGGGCTAATCTCGAGGCCAATCCCGCCACGTGCACAACGCATTTATTCTCGCCCCCCAAAGTCAGCCAGGTGTGCGGCGCAAATGGGGGTCGGCCTCGTTCCCCCGATTCCCAGAGGCCGCCCAAGGCTGCCCAAGGCTGCCCAAGGCTGCCCAAGGCTGCCCAAGGCTGCCCAAGGCTGCCCAAGGCTGCCCAAGGCTGCCCAAGGCTGCCCAAGGCTGCCCAAGGCTGCCCAAGGCTGCCCAAGGCTGCCCAAGGCTGCCCAAGGCTGCCCGCGATGACCGCCTGGTCCTGGAGGGTGGCTCGGGATGCTACGGATGCGGAGCCGCTGCTGCCTCTTCTGCCACCACACTGCCCGCTGACCGCGCATGTGCTAACCGCACTGACTGGTACCTACGTCTACACATGCTCGGCACTCGTTCAGGAGGACTCTCTGAGCTCGCCTCGGGCCTCCGAACGCATCTCCATGAGAAGCCATTTCAAAAACCACGCCAATGAAACAGCACTGAAACTGCTTCCTTGACAGCAATCCCCCTACATCCGCATGCGGGGAATCCCCTCGCCAAAAAAAAAAAAAAAAAAACTGAAATGAAGAAATGAGTGACTTTGCCTCGCTGCGCCGACGTGTAGGCAACCAAATGCTCATCAGCATCTCAGGCTTGTCTAGCAGACCGCCTGCAGACGGACTGGCCCGTTTGTAAAAGATCGGCCTTTACTCTATTCCCGACATTGCATTGGAACATACGACAGTTCCCCGTGCAGTTTGACAGGAGAGGCTCGTCGCAAGGGCCTCGTTAATGGAATTGTCAGGCTTCTACACTCATGTCTTGCAACCCACTGGGCGCGCAAAAGTCGACCCCCCCCCCCCCCGCCCCATTTTAACGCACCGCGGCATCGATTTCTGATACGCTGCCGACAGTACGAATTCAAAAAGCCCGCCGGACACTCACCAAACTGACATCCGGGGCGCTGACTGATGAATTTCTCATACCACTGCCGCAGTAGCCTCGCAGTCGCTTCCGCGGGGGATCCGGGAGGTTCGGGCGGGCGCCCGAGAGGGCCTGTCACTCGGCGAGATCACAAATAAAAAAAAACTAAAAAGAAACTAAAAATAAATATTTTAATTATTTATTTATGATTTTTTTGTCTTTGACGCAGCTCGGTGTCTCCTCCATCACCAGAGCTCCGCCCCCCGACAGAAAAAAAATAGGTTTTAATAGTTTTAAATAATAGTTAATTGTGTCGGCCCTTTGCCAGGAGGCGAACTGAGCCATCCCCGATCAACTGTGCAAAATTATTTGCAAGAGAAATTAACTGCTCAAAACCGAATTATTTTCATTGTAAATTACAAGGCTAAAGATAAGCACACTTGATCTACTTAAAAAACAGGGTTTTTGGATGTTATACAAAACAAAAAGAATGTTGCACTCTTGTTCTAAAACTAGATTTGTTTTAGATAATGTGTGCTAATAAGTAACGGGCTCATCTCATTTCAAGGAAATGCAGAAAAGATACAAACTTTAATACAATGCAAAGAAAATTGAAGCATGAATTTACAGATATACAATGCAAAGAAAAATTAATGCTTGAATTTACAGTTATACAATGCAAAGGAAAACTAATGCTTGAATTTACCGTTATACAATGCAAAGAAGGAATTTACAACCACGACAAGTGAAGTGAACAAAAGATAAATTAAAATGAACATAAAATAGAGATCTCAAGGCAAATAAAATTAAAACTAAATACAGGTACAATTAACAATCACAGATTCGGTAGAGTTGAGTTCTGGGCCCATAACCTGCAGCAGGGTGCTTGTCAATCACGTGGCGAGTGAATCTGGGAGAGTAACGTACTCGATAGATTCAGCAAACAAAAGAACAGATTTATTCCAGGGGGCTTAATTTTATAATCAGTGTTATTGGCAGTCAATGCATATTTACAGTAAAACAGTGTAGCCAACTTATGAAAGACAAACTATGAGTCTATTTACACGGGAGCAGACGGTATTAATATTTACAACATTACCGGATGCTTACTGAAAACTATGCAATGATGCAGTAAGCATAAGCTCACAATCTCTACTCTTGATTGGTAAGAGAAAGTTATATTAATTTTTCTTGCGTGTAGCATTTTGAAATATTTTAATGATTTCCTCATAAATAAACAAGACTACCGGTTTGCTTACATCATAAACTTTAGTTGCACAAGTCAAGCCCTTATCTTTTTTGAGGGAGACAGCACCATTTTAAAACAAACTTTGTAGTAGGAGCACCTCTCAACCTAATTATTTTAATGACAAATACTTATAATGGTTTAAAATTGAATTTGGCAGACCTGCAGAGCTGTTTTGGCGCTTGCATAAATTGCCCAAGGTGGTCCTGCGTTACTTACAAGTGGTTCCACAATTTATGCAAGTCACAGAGTGTGACCAAGGAAGCTCAAAGACGACCAAAAGGCGATTTTCGCAAAAGTAAATGTTGGCAGCCCTGCAGGGCTGTTCTTGCGCTTGCATCAATTGCCCGGGGTGGTCACTTCTCACTTTCAAGTGGTTCCTCAATTTATGCAAGTCACAGAGTGTGGCCAAGACAGCTGCAGGACGACCGAAAGGCGATTTTCGCAAAAGTGAATGTTGGCAGCCCTGCAGGGCTGTTCTGGCGCTTGCATAAATTGCCCGGGGTGGTCACTTCTCACTTTCAAGTGGTTCCTTAATTTATGCAAGTCACAGAGTGTGACCAAGACAGCTGCAAGACGACCAAAAGGCGAGTTTCGCAAAAATGAATAGTGGCAGCCCTGCTGCGCTGTCCTGGCGCTTGCATAAATTGCCCGAGGTGGTCCTGAGTTACTTGCAAGTGGTTCCACAATTTATGCAAGTCACAGAGTGTGACCTAGATAGCTGCAAGACGACCAAAAGGCGACTTTCGCGAAAGTGAATGTTGGCAGCCCTGCAGCGCTGTTCTGACGCTTGCATAAATTGCCCGAGTTGGTCCTGAGTTACTTTTAAGTGGTTCCACAATTTATGCAAGTCACATAGTGTGACCAAGGCAGCGCCAAGACGACCAAAAGACGATTTTCGCAAAAGTGAATGTTGGCAGCCCTGCAGGACTGTTCTGGCGCTTGCATAAATTGCGCGGGGTGGTCACTTCTAACTTTCAAGTGGTTCCTCAATTTATGCAAGTCACAGAGTGTGGCCAAGACAGCTGCAGGACGACCGAAAGGCGATTTTCGCAAAAGTGAATGTTGGCAGCCCTGCAGAGCTGATTTGGCGCATGCATAAATTGCCCTAGGTGGTCCTGAGTTACTTACAAGTGGTTCGACAATTTATGCAAGTCGCAGAGTGTGACCAAGGCAGCTCCAAGACGACCAAAGGCGATTTTCGCAAAAGTGAATGTTGGCAGCCCTGCAGGGCTGTTCTGGCGCTTGCATAAATTGCCCGGGGTGGTCACTTCTCACTTTCAATTGGTTCCTCAATTTATGCAAGTCACAGAGTGTGACCAAGACAGCTGCAAGACGACCAAAAGGCGATTTTCGCAAAAGTGAATGTTGCCAGCCCTGCAGAGCTGTTTTGGCGCTTGCATAAATTGCCCTAGGTGGTCCTGAGTTACTAACAAGTGGTTCCACAAATTATGCAAGTCACAGAGTGTGACCAAGGAAGCTCAAAGACGACCAAAAGGCGATTTTAGCAAAAGTGAATGTTGGCAGCCCTGCAGGGCTGTTCTGGCGCTTGCATAAATTGCCCGGGGTGGTCACTTCTCACTTTCAAGTGGTTCCTCAATTTATGCAAGTCACAGAGTGTGACCAAGACAGCTGCAAGACGACCAAAAGGCGAGTTTCGCAAAAATGAATAGTGGCAGCCCTGCTGCGCTGTCCTGGCGCTTGCATAAATTGCCCGAGGTGGTCCTGAGTTACTTGCAAGTGGTTCCACAATTTATGCAAGTCACAGAGTGTGACCTAGATAGCTGCAAGACGACCAAAAGGCGACTTTCGCGAAAGTGAATGTTGGCAGCCCTGCAGCGCTGTTCTGACGCTTGCATAAATTGCCCGAGTTGGTCCTGAGTTACTTTTAAGTGGTTCCACATTTTATGCAAGTCACAGAGTGTGACCAAGGCAGCGCCAAGACGACCAAAAGACGATTTTCGCAAAAGTGAATGTTGGCAGCCCTGCAGGGCTGTTCTGGCGCTTGCATAAATTGCCCGGGGTGGTCACTTCTCACTTTCAAGTGGTTCCTTAATTTATGCAAGTCACAGAGTGTGGCCAAGACAGCTGCAGGACGACCGAAAGGCGATTTTCGCAAAAGTGAATGTTGGCAGCCCTGCAGGGCTGTTCTGGCGCTTGCATAAATTGCCCGGGGTGGTCACTTCTCACTTTCAAGTGGTTCCTTAATTTATGCAAGTCACAGAGTGTGACCAAGACAGCTGCAAGACGACCAAAAGGCGAGTTTCGCAAAAATGAATAGTGGCAGCCCTGCTGCGCTGTCCTGGCGCTTGCATAAATTGCCCGAGGTGGTCCTGAGTTACTTGCAAGTGGTTCCACAATTTATGCAAGTCACAGAGTGTGACCTAGATAGCTGCAAGACGACCAAAAGGCGACTTTCGCGAAAGTGAATGTTGGCAGCCCTGCAGCGCTGTTCTGACGCTTGCATAAATTGCCCGAGTTGGTCCTGAGTTACTTTTAAGTGGTTCCACATTTTATGCAAGTCACAGAGTGTGACCAAGGCAGCGCCAAGACGACCAAAAGACGATTTTCGCAAAAGTGAATGTTGGCAGCCCTGCAGGGCTGTTCTGGCGCTTGCATAAATTGCCCGGGGTGGTCACTTCTCACTTTCAAGTGGTTCCTCAATTTATGCAAGTCACAGAGTGTGACCAAGACAGCTGCAAGACGACCAAAAGGCGTTTTTGGGAAAGTGAATGTTGGCAGCCCTGCAGCGCTGTTCTGACGCTTGCATAAATTGCCCGAGTTGGTCCTGAGTTACTTTTTAAATGGTTCCACAATTTATGCAAGTCACAGAGTGTGTCCAAGACAGCTCCAAGGCGACGAAAATGGCATTTTCCGTATGAGTGAATGTTGGCAGCCCTGGAGAGCTGTTTTGGCGCTTGCATAAATTGCCCGAGGTGGTCCTGAGTTACTTACAAGTGGTTCCACAATTTATGCAAGTCACAGAGTGTGACCAAGGCAGCTCCAAGACGACCAAACGGCGATTTTCGCAAAAGTGAATGTTGGCAGCCCTGCAGGGCTGTTCTGGCGCTTGCATAAATTGCCCGGGGTGGTCACTTCTCACTTTCAAGTGGTTCCTCAATTAATGCAAGTCACATTATGTGGCCAAGACAGCTCCAAGACGGCCAAAAGGCGATTTTCGCAAAAGTGAATGTTGGCAGCCTTGCAGGGCTGTTCTGGCACTTGCAAAAATTGCCCCGGGGCGGTCACTTCTCACTTTTAAGGGGTTTCCACAATTTATGCAAGTCACAGAGTGTGGCCAAGACAGCTGCAAGACGACCACAGGGGATTTTCGCAAATGTGAATGTTGGCAGCCCTGCAGCGACCTTTTGGTACTTGCATAAATTGCCAAAGGGGGGCCTGAATCAATTTCATGGGGTCCTAGAATTTATGCAACGACGAATGGCGTTTTTGGTTGGTTTTTATTTTTATATAGTCGGTTCTGCTAAGCTGAGTTTTTTTGGGCCCAAAAATTTTTTTGGGCCCAAAAATAACACACGTTCTTTCGTGATGCACCAAACCTCTATGGACATCGGTCGTTTTCGCCCAACGCGGATTCTACGGAAAAAGAAGAGGGGAGGGCGACGGAGACGTGCGAGATGTTGACAAGGATCGCGCAGACATCGCTCGGTTCCTTCAGGCTGCGAAGTGTCCTGCATCTTACTGTGCAGAGGCCTGTTGATGGGTTTTGTTGTTTCTTATGGTGGTTGGTGCTGAGGTTTCATGTTGCTGCGATATCTTGTGCTTCTTTTCAGTTCGCGGGCCCTTGCAGAGGATGTTGCTAAGTGTGAGGATCCGATCGCTGTACTTGCACATTATTTTAAAGATGTGGTACCATCTATCTGTGTGCGAACTCCTGCCCCGAAGAGGGTCGTCTCAAAACTTGTAAAGCAAGCTTGAAAGCAAGGCATTGAAGATCAGAAGAGAACCCAGAAATTTATTCGTGGTTTGCTCAGGTTGCCTGTTCCTGACGTACATTAAGGAATGCCTTGCTAAAGACGTTCGACATGATGTGGTGGATTGCGGATGCACTGGGTGTTGTGGTGACTCAGCATTGAATTTTCAGAAGGCAGGCGCTGCAGTATATGGACAAGCTATAGGGATCACAGTCGAAGATGGAGTGAAGATGACAAACCACTTTAGGATGTATGCTGTTGCCTGCTCTTCCATTCTGCGAATATTCCCCCGGAAGTATCCAGGAATCACTTCGCCCATGCTCTTTTTTGGAAGCGCACATGCCTTTTCCCCGGCTCATGTTGAAGACCTCCTGCTTTTCTCCATCAACTATATACATTTTGGTCATCCCAAAATCTAGTGCGTGCAGCCTGTGTTGCATTTAGTCTGTGTTGCATTTAGTCTGTGTCATCAATTCATGTCAATACCTAATGCATCCATCTCCCTCCTTTGTTCTTCAGGTTTGTAGTTCCCCCCAAGCACTCGGGACTGGTGCATGGGCTTTTAG